GGAGCGGATTTAGGCCGTCTTCTGGGTCTTCCGGAAGATGGTCAGATTTTCAAGTTTACATTGAAAGGTGTCTAATTTTTCCGTCGGAAGACGGTCAAAAATGAAGAATGGATCAACAAAGATAATTTGGAAGACTGTCAGAAAATATCTCTGAATCCGCCCCTGTAAGGGGCATTTGTCAATATGTAAATAGTTTTTCAATAACTTTCTACAAAGGTGGGTTAGTTAAGTATAGTTTAAACTTTATTTTTGTATTGTATTATTGTATTACAGAATGTTTAAATATTTTTGATATGATTTTTGATCAGACATATCAGAATGAACTCCTCTCTCTCTTTCTTTCTCTTTCTCTCTCTCTCTCATAACTCTCTCGCTCTCTCTCTTATAACTCTCTCTTTCTCTCTCTCTCTCTCTCTCTCTCTCTTATAACTCTTTCTCATATTTGTTATGAGGAAATTACTGGTATAGCCTATACAAGTTGCAAGGGTAACTTTTTAAGTATAAAGTTAATGTTTTGTTTGTTGTGCATCATCAGAAACAATGCAAGATGCTGGATATTGTGCTTTGTTCTTTGCAATTTTATCAATTTGCCATTTTAATGTATTTAAAAATTGTCCACATATTATTAAACTTGAGTTTTGTTTGATATTTTATTTTTAGTGTCATATATTTTAAAATCTTTTCTTTTTTTAATTGTATTTTTGATATGAAAGAAGTCATAACTCCATGGTTTTATTTTTCTCATATGACTCATATTTTGTGTCCAGATTGGACTTGGTATATAAGATGTAAGAAACTTTCTATTTTCTACAAGAGCCTGCTGCAGAGAAGTTCATCTAGTTTTGAAAAGTAAGGGAAAAAATCATAAAGCCATGGTTTTCTTTCTTCTAATGAGGCACATGTTTATTTTGTATGTAAAAAACTGTATTTAGCTTAGATTTACCTTTTTTGTATTGTTTATTTTGAAATCTTTTATAACAGTTTTTTATCACTCACATATTTTTCATGTCCATATTGGACCCTGGTGAAAATAATCTCTTTGCATTGTATAGATTATAGCTGTCAATATTTATTGCTTAGCTAAGTCTTAGAATATATCAGCATTTTTTACTTTCAGCTGCTTAATTCCAAGGGCTGACCACCAAAAACCCTGGGCTGTGAAAAACTGCATGTAGGGCTCTTTTCTTTTGCTTTTCTCAAATTTCTCCAATTAAGAATGTTCAGGTGCCTTCCCCTTCCTCAGAAAGAGGGAGTTAGGTTTTTGGTTCTATCTGTCATTTATGTTTAGTAAATAGATTGAATGGATTCTGAATCATAAACTGTAATTAATTAAATTCACAATTCATTGCCAGAGCCTAAAAAGCATTTGATGATACTTTATGGGAGCCCTTATTTTGGTCATTTTTGGAAAATAAAAACTATTTTACAATTTGGCTTACAATATAGCTCTACTAGAGCAAAATCTTGGAAGAAATTTGGAAGAAAAAATCCTGTCTAACACGCACCAGCCTAGGATCCTATAAGATCCTGTAGGACTTTTTCCTATAGAATCTTCTAGGAAATTGGGCCAATTTCCTATAGAATCCTACAGGATCTTATAGGATCCTATAGGACTATTTTCGTAAGGGTCATATAATAGATCAAAAAAGTCAATTGCGGTGGTTGTACTGGATTGCTTTGTGTTACAACCACCTGTTCCAGTAGTTGGCCTGGACCAACATATCATTTACATGGACCAAATGTAATAGGGGTGAAGCTTCCCATAGTTCAAAAAGTAAATTGCTGCAAATTGTCGGGAATGACTTGCAACTTACTGAGACCATTCACAACAGGTGACACACTTCCAGGAGTACAAAGTGTCAATTGGGGTAGTCAGGCTGGAGGAACTATTGTAATTTACATGTTGGGCTGGACCATCTTGCATAAGTTACATGGATCAATTGCAATGGATAAGACACTTTCGTAATTTACACTGATCAATTGCCACAAGTGGATGCTTCTTGTAGTCTTGGACATAATAAAGTTATTATGTCCAAGTTGTAGTATATGTCTCACATGCTGATGGACTGTACTGACTTGGAAAATTTTCAAGGACTTATCTTGAAAGGTGCTACACTTACAAATGCCGAATATCTTTCATTTGCAGCACAAATGTGTGCTGACAAGCTTAAAACTAACATACTGAATACACATCCATGTTCTAGAGTTATTAATTAGACATTGTCCAGTAAATGAACAAATAAGTTGGGAAAAAACCTTAACAAAGATTTCTCAACTGAATTCCATCCATTTTTTGGCCAATATAACCCAGATAATTTCCCACCTGAATCCCCCATGGATAAGTGCCAAAAATCCAAAATGGTTACCAATGCATAGGGGAGGGTGTTTTAGTAGGCATATCTTGGAAACTGGGTAACTTAAAAATTTGTAATAGGTATCATTTCTAATGTTAAAAGGCATGGCCATTCATTTGAAAAAAAATTTGGAAGTCACCAGAGGTCAAAATCATGCCTAAATATAAAGCTCAATCTCGAAAAAGGACCAAAATAGCTTTTAAAAAATATAGCATCCACTTTCTTTATTCCTTCAGAGATGAACTTTTTATGATTGCCATAGCACTGGTAGAGGTCTTGTAGGGTTCATGAGGAGAAGGGTACTTGCCTGCATTGCAGCTAGGGGAGGGCACACATGTTACTGTACTACATGTATATACTACCATTTATGCAACACTAATGTATGAAAAAATAACAAAAAAAAAAAACAAAAAAAAAATGCATTTCTTTTTGGCCAGTATATATTTATAATGTATTTATTTATAGTCTTAAGTCATTTTAACATGATCAGTAGTCTAAACTTGGATAAATTAATAATATAGGATAGATGAAATCAAATAAATGTTACCAAATACAATAGTGATGTACAGGGCCACATGGCCTTATTTCTTACATATTTTAAAATGTTCTCCACTTTTTTTTTTGTAATGTTTCCCAAAAATCTTCCAAAAACATTATGAAAACTTTCCTGAAGAATGTTTCCCAAACTTTATGGTAACATAAACCTAACATTCTCCCAAAATTCAGGGATTATGTTTTATTGCCCTAAACAAGTTACTGAAAGATAATGAAAGAACAAGTCAGTAAATCATTGATAATTTAGCCTAAAGCAAAATGGATAATGGGCCACAAACAGGTTGTCCTATATCACGGAAAAGAATGAAACAACTTCATGTTGTAATTTTAACAGAATATTTATTTGACTAAATTAAAAGATACATGGTACAAACATTGTCAAATCCAAGCTTTAATCAGGACCTCTCTCCCTTTTCAGGATTCCTTGAGATTATGTACAACTTTATAAATTACAATGTCAGTCAGATAAACCATAAGCCTAATGATTACTTTAAACACAAGTTTGCCCCTGCCTGGTGGGCTAACACAGTGCATCATATAATCTACTCACTGGCTACAGGGTGCACTAGTAGTCGGTTATAATATTGTTGTATGGCACCCTGTGCTATTTCACTTGATCAACTCACCAGACATGCCCTTTTATTTGTATTTGTCAGATGCTGAGTAGTTCATACTTAAATTTTGTATACTATTTTAAAAGCCCTTGATATCAGAGGGTATGCATAATCTACTTCTAGATTACCAGGCTCGAGTCAAAAACTATAAAATCTTAACTTCAGAGGTGTGAAATATTATCTACTTGTATATGCCAAGTTTCAATGTGCGAATATGATCATTTATGCATTGAGAAAAATACCATAACATATTAAATTCCAATGATTGAATTAATAATATCAAGATTTTAAAATTAAATTGGGATAATAATACCCATTTATTGTGGTCCCTGACAATTTACTTTTTAAGTTCATCAGTGCATTTCAACATATAGTGTCTTTTACTAAAAAAATTTGCAGATCTGTTGCAGAAATAAGGTATCTCATATGCTATGTTGGTTTCACAATACTTTGAGAATAGAATGATATAGGTCACATCTATTTTTGCTGTCTTCCCCAGTCGCATGCCAGGGTAAACTGGGTACACGTGCAAACATATCTCATTTAAAACACCAGGTTTTATATAAAATGGTTACTTATTCACTCCAAGCAACTATAAAAGCAATTGTTTCCTTACTTTTTCCTTGATTAGGTGAGAATTGCTATACTGGTGACTCCCCAAAGAGTAAATCAAATACTTTACTATCATCACAAGTTTTCTGATATCCTGCTTTTAATGGGCAGGAATTAAATACTCTTTCAGGGACCTTTATGCCAATGGAGCGACTTCCAACTGCATGTCAAATTGTCTTCAAATTGAATGAACATTTCTAGGGCCTTCTAAAATCTACTAAAAAAAAATGTTTTCTCCAGACAGAAGAATATGTACGAAAAAATTTATAAGAAATACGGTAAACTTTGTCGAGTTATTTTAAACAGTTTAGTGTTTAAACTGTCATGAGATTGTTAGTGTAATGCTATTCACTATGAATTACTATTAAAACATTGAGGAAAGCTCATGTTGATACCAACTTAGGCTGATAATCTGTACCAGCATCTGTATCAAAAGCTAGTTTTCAGAACAGTGCAAATTTGGAAAAGAATAAAAATTACAAACAGGCTCAAAAAGCAGAAGACATCAAAGAATTCCATACATGTGATAGACCTTTTACACAAAACTTTATGCCTCAAAGTGACATATTGTAAAATATTGTACAGAACAAGGCAGCAAAGCTGTCAAATGTACAAAAATAAATAAATAAATAAAGATACACAAAATAGGTCACTTTGTCAATTCTGATGCAATAATACATTATGCTCAACTGCAAAGTCAACATCAAAATGTTACTATGCACAAAAGGTACAGTGTAATACCAATAGGAGGGGGGAGGGGGGGATTGTCCTGATACTCAATCCTAGGAATCATTCTTGTAAGTTTGAAAAATGATAAGTAACAGTTTTCTTTTCATAACATTTATGGTGACAGTGCACTAAGTAGTTTTTTTTTTTTTGTTGCTGTCAATTTTGATGCAATATTACATAATGATAAACTGTATAATTACCAACAATTACCTCCTATTAATAGCATGGACATTTAAAAATTTGATTGCAACTTCACTTCACTCCCCTGCGAGTTGTAAGTCCCACATTGAAAATTCCCCATATGGGAATAATGCTTAACAGCATAATGACCATCAATTTTTAATAACATAATAAAATCATCATGAATATTCAGAAAATGTGACTTGCAAAGGTATTCAAGCCAACTGAAGTTCAAAGTCACACCTTGAAAGTGCCAATATATGAAAAATTAAATTTTCACAAAAAACTGTATATTAAACTTCAAGAAAATTACTAATGAGAGATTTTCCAACTGAAGCCTTATTTCAGTCCTGTGTTTTCCTGTTAGTGTGAGAGGAGTAAGTGACATGGTTTCCCTTTAATGGTCACTATGGAGGCAATGCCCAAAATAGGTTTTTCTTCAACTCAACTTGGTTTTATGAATATTCATATGTTCTGTAAGTTTGAAGCCAAAAAGTTAAACCATTTACCACTTATCATTATCAGTGAATGTGCACGGTGACGACGATGGGGACAACAGACGCAGGTGACGGCTATATGTACAGACACATCTGTACAAAAAATATTTCAATAAAGCTGCTACGTATTCAAACTTTTAATCTTGCTAGGCCCATAAGAGTTCAAATTCATATGCAAAAAATCCCAATATAAAAATAATGAAGACAGTGCACAACATAATGTTACTAGCCAGGGCTTCAGGTGGATGGGAGTGAAGAGGCACATTTTGAAAACGCCAGTGTTTGAAAAAATAAGAAAGCATAACAAAAGATATACTCAAATAGAGCTGCTACTTAAAAATTCAATTCAGCTGCATTAACATACAATGAATCACCCCACCAAGTTTGAGGATAATAAAGTGCAGTTTTTTTTTTATCTTAAGCATAAATGTTGACAGTATACAATTTTTTTTGTAAATTTATACACAATATAATGCAACATTTAAGTGCATAATATTACCAATTCTTATCAATTATATAATACTGTCAAGGCAGACTTTCAAAAACTGTATGTGGCACAGGTTTCAGTCTCTTCCAACACATTTTATGTACTCATTTAACGATCACTTGCTAATTAATAAGGTAAGTGATTTTATAGCTCTGTTATTGTTGGAGGTTCAGTCACACCTTGAAAATGACAATATGTAAAAAATTAACATGTCATTTGCAGTATTTCCATGCTTCTTTACAAATGTGTGAATTCCTCTGCATAAGTAACATTGCATTACATTCAATACAAGTGAGAAACCTATTTACGAAGCATTATCAACTTCCTTCTTAGCAAATACAATGTCACACCAGAGAGATAGTGTTGATAATGAGATCTACGCAATATCAATGTCACACCAGAGGGGCAGCTATGATACTGGCATCAATTTTGATTCAACTGACGTCCATTTTCCTACTTAAGCATCCTGCTGCACTTCTTGTAGAGGCAGAGACAGTTTCTTTGGATTGATTGTCACAGACTTGGTAGCATTGTTGGTCTTATAAATTCCCACCAGACGATCAGCCAGTTCAAACATGTTGTTACGCAGTGAGATGATGATAAATTGTGCATTTTTGGTACGTTCCTAAAAAGATACAAGAGAAATCAATGTTAAGACTGGCTGCATCAAGTGATCACTTTGCTCAATATATCTATGACTTGAACATCTTTAAAAGGTTTTTAAAATTTATAAGAGTAAGACTTTTTCACAACTACATGTTTTGTTGTTTCCTCTGTATCCTTTGGGACTGAGCAGAAAGGTGAAGATTCGAGGCTTCCCATGTCAGGGTCTCCCTATAGGGCTTGAAGTCATAGCTCCATAACTAAAATGTGATCATGAGCCTTGGGGTTGTTCCAGAATTTGTAATAAGGAGAGAGACCATATTGATATCGAGCAAGCAGAAGTTTCTCGCATTGGCCCTCCTTAAAATGGATTCTGATATTTACTATGTGTGTGTAAAGGTGCACATAACTGTCAATTGATAGCCAGACACTGACTCAACAGTAAACCATATAGAAAACAAAATTACAGACACCACCAAAAGTGTTGTGCTTGACATGCATTACAATACACACACATGCTGGTGGATGTGTTTGTGTGCTATTTCACTGGTAGAAACACATCTGATTACCTGTCTCAGCCAAATATGCTTTTGCCAATTTGGCAAAATCTTGTTCAACACCCATATTAAAAAAATTTTTTCACCAGCATATGTGACATTTGGCAATACTAGCAAGCCCTTACATGAAACAAGAAGTTTCTTGCTCAGAAGCAAACTTTTAGGATCAAAAGAGCCAAGTAAGTCCCACTGTACACAATTCTGCACAGCAGTTTTTTTGATGGCAGGTTCAACTCTTGTGTTATGATTTCATCTATTCCACAAATTCTGAAGTCCGTCAATTGTTTTACAGAAGTGTCACTGATAAAGACCTTAAGATGAATTTTCAGTTCTAAGCACACAAGAGATACAACCAGAGAACATTTGCTGGATTGGTGCAGAGGTCAAAAGTTTAAAAACTTGCATGATCTAAAACAAAAAGCCCTCAAAGCAATCTTTGCCTTAAAAGGAGCACTAGCATCAAATGAAATCTCCTCTCCACTCCTTACAATGTCACTCTTTGACAAAATGATAAAGCCCATACTACTTTATTGGTGTGAAGTCTGGGGACAAGAAATATTATCACAAAAAAAGATGACTTTGGAAAAACTAAATAAAATGCCTTTCGAGCAAGTACACTTGAAATTTTGTTAGTGGTCATTAGGTGTAAGGAAATCTGCCAGCAATAATGCCTGCCGAGCAGAAATGGGTCGCTTCCCAATATATTTGGACAAAGTAAAATTAGTCTCAAAATACAGTGCTAGACTCCAAGAACTCCCAGATAACAGAATTGTTAAACAAGCATATAACAAGGAAAAAATAGGAAACAGAAGTAACTGGTATCAGACAATGTCAAATATTAAAATATGTTGGGAACTTAATACAAACAGACATAATTGCGAAATCCACAACTAACCAGATCTTGAAATAGAAATAACTAACGAAGAAATCCATAGAAATACCAACAACAAACTCCGCACCTACAGCAAAATTAAGAAATCCTATGAAGCTGAGCCATATTTGGAATTAAAAGTCCCTTTTACATATAAAAAAATTCTAGCCAAAATGAGGGTCAGTGACCACGAGTTAGAAATTGAAAGAGGCAGATTTACCCACCCCAAAACAAAAATTGAGGACAGAAAGTGTCCTCACTGTAATGCAGTGGAAGATGAAGTTCACTTTTTTCTTGAGTGTACTACTTATAAACTGGACAGAGAAACATTATTTGCTGCCTTACCAGAGGTAAATGTGCAGGGTCTAGCAGACGACACACTATCCGCCCTATGAAATGTGTCAAATAAGAGAGGTGTGTCCGCAATTGTAAAGTTTATAAACAGTGCTATGAGAAAACGGAAGCTATCCAAATTGAGATAACACCTGGTATTATACTTTAACTTTATTATTACTATGTACATGTATTTAAACTTGAGTATATTATAATTAGTAGTGTAGAGAGCCTATAAATGTACACTCATTTCATGTGCTCAATAAATTATTATTATTATTATTATAAAAATTAAAGATATACATTACAACTCTGTCATCCTAACTTTTACCTTGATATAATTAGCAACAATGGAAACATTCTTGAAGTCCAAAGCTGCATCTATTTCATCCATGACATACAGAGGTGTGGGCCTGTAGTGGTGCAGGGCAAATACCAATGCCAATGAGCTCAGGGTCTTCTCACCACCAGACAGGTTGGAGATGTTCTTCCATGACTTCTTGGGAGGTCTCACACTAGTACAAAAAACATTAAACAATATCCTTCATATTTCCATTTTCAAAACACACCAAGACATATCCAATCATCATTACACCTTGTTTAAAGTAAACCTCACATATAAACCAGGCAATTAAGACTGCACAATACTGACATAAACATATAAAATCACAGAAACAGATACAATGAATCTTGGCCAGATATATTCTGAAATAGTTTAAAGTATGATTTTTTAAATTCATAATTTTTTTTACCTTAGGCCACACTTTTTTATTTTTATGGATGACATCCTCTGGGGACCCCGAAATCGGTGCGAGAGGGTGAAAAAAAAATATTCTGCTTAAGTAAAGGAATGCTGTCAGAACACAGCTGGAAACACAAATTCACCACAGAAACACGTATCAAACTAACAATATGTCTTTATCCATGCATGCTCTCAAAATATTAAAGCATTGTGAATACTTTGTAAAAGGCAAAAAGTCATGAATAGATATGCTGCATATTACCAAATCTATTTAAGATTATTTCATGCATTTTGTTGGTATAGCAATCAATAAAACAAATATCAAACAAACAGTGCGTCTTTATTTGTATTCTCAGAATATTAAAGCATAATGAACACTTCACAGAAATGTTAAAAATAATGATGCAAAGATATGCCTAATACTGACAAATCTATTAAGGTCATTTCGGTCGATGCCATTTTGTCTACTTCAACTCACACGAAGCAGCCAAACTGTCGGGTGGCCTGTCCAACCTTCAGCCCACCAAATACCTTGCTGGCGTTGTGGACCTTTTTTTCGCTACAAAAACACTGGTATGTGTGCTGCTTTGGACAGAATGTCACTGAAATGTTCCGGGCGATAATGTTTTTTTTTTTTTTGGAGAATGGACGAAAATCGGTGCGCGCGCAGGATGTCATCCATAAAAATTAAAAAGTGTGGCCTTAGTAAAAGGTATGGTCTGTCTAGATGAGTTTAAATCAAAGCAAAAATTAGGTTTGGCACTAATACATAATACTATATATTGCTATATTGTTATAAAACGAAAAATTCATTTGGTTTAGTATCACAAAAACAATACAATCAGGTTGATTCTCCAAAGGAACAAGCATTTTACACAAAGCCAGCTAGTAAATTTAGAGTTACTGTAAAACAAAAACAGTCAGATCATGGACCCCAGCTTCTTAGAGTTATGAAATGAAAAAAAGCACAAGTGTTGCAAACAGATTCAATTCGTTGAGTGATTTGATTCGTGGTGTCATTTAATTCAAAGGCATCAATTTCCTGTTTGTTTTAATTGCTGGTAGTTGGTTTATGATTGCAGTCATCAGAAGGGGGTATAATGAATGTGAAAGAGGTGAAAGGGTATGTTTGAATATAATGGGTCTTTGGGATTGTGATTGTTGTGTATTATACCTGTTTGCATATAATTCATTAATCACTTTAAGATTATATATTTGTGGCCTAGAAAATAAAAGGTTTTCCAAATGAAAACATGTCTTACTTACATCTATAAAATATAGTTCTGTATGTCACCTTTCTTTTGTAATACACTAATAAAACAAGACCAAACTTATTTCAAAGAAAGGGAAAGGTTCCGGTGCTGCACTTGACAAGCTCTTAAAGAGAGAGAGAGAGAGAGAGAGAGAGAGAGAGGTCTCGAGTATTCAGTTCCATTAGTCAGAGAGTTTTCAGTTTTGGCATCTAATTGCTGAGTCTTCCATGAAAATGCACCCACTGACACCAAACTCATGGAAATCAAAGGACGTTCCAAGTGTAACTCCACACCATAATATGAAAGCTTAGGCCTGTTTTTTTTTTTAACGATTGCCACCAACATTTTTCATAGAAAATAAATTATCAAAAAATCGTGGGGAAAAGTGGGTCAGAGATCAAATTCAAGGCCATATTATGAATGCCCATATACAACTTCCTATTCAAATTCAATAGTAACTATTAATTGGCATATCTCTGCCAGATTTAGAGATATGAGAGTTGAAAAATTTCCAAAAATAAGTCCATGCCAAAATACAGGTCAAAGGCCAAATTCAAGGTCACAGCAATATTGCCAATATAAGACTCCTATCCAAGTTCAACATTAACTATTGGCATATCTCTGCATTTTCCAAAAATCAGCATAAACATTTTTATGTGCATTAAATTCCCATTTTTACAAAATGTTGGCTTGTTTGACCTTGAAATAAAGTTCAAAGATCATATCCAAGGGCATATTTGAAATCTACACATATCACTTTTAGTCAGACTTCTATAGTAACTATGAAGTGGTAACGATGATGTGGCAGCAAAGCCAGTGGACAAGAGGGGTCAGAACTAAAAACCATGTGTATTGCCAGCGCCTACACAGGTGGTACAATCACATTAAGGCTTACATCAATCAATGCAACTGTTTTTTGGTGTGAAAAGGTGAGTATGTACATGTGGGAGTGCATTGCATTGGTGAAGCAATAACTCTGTTTACTGCCTGCCTACCTAAATACAATGCCCTCGGAGAAAGGATCCAGAGAGTCAACCAGCTCCAGTTCAGCATCTCCTCCCAGCGTAATCATCTGGTACATTTCCTTCAGCTTGCTGGTAATGATGCTGAACCCAGACATGAACTCGTCAAGCCTCTGCTTACGGAGCTCCTCGTACTGCTGGCGCTGCTGGTCACGCAGGTCTGTTATTTGGTCCAACTCTGCAACTCTTTGAAGATAAAGTTCTTCCTAAAAATAAATCATTCAACACTTTATTATGTAAAATTTCTTTAATCAGTAAACATAACAATATAATATAATATAATATAATATAATATAATATAATATAATATAATATAATATAATATAATATAATATAATATAATATAATATAATATAATATAATATAATATAATATATCCTTTTTTTACTTTTGGCATAGTAATCAGACATTGCTGAAACTGTTGTTCCGATTGGTCATGACCAGCCGCTATTACGCACTCTGTCATTGGTTTATTGATTGTGACACACAGACAGCTGTCATGAGAGCAGTCCATGCTGCAAGGACATGTTAACATGGCAAGGTAAATGTTTACCACTAAACTTTGACACCCGACTCCTTTCTCAAAAACAGTTGCTGGTATAGAAGACCAGGAAAGTGAGACTTGACCTTAAAAGGTAAGCACACATTCTATTATTATTATTTTTTTAAATAACGTTGTTGGCATGGAAATTAGGTCACCTGATCACTCAGTAAAATTGATTTTAAAGTTGTCTAATGTCTATTAGTTTTATGGGCCCTTCTGTTTATATTCAGCATACCGCATATCGCCGTTTTACATAATGATAATTTAAATTTTCGGTCACTCTTCGAACGTAATCAGTGGTATATAAAGGTGTTAAAATTTAAATATCCAATCTGCTTTTAGGCATTGAATACACAAAGAGTTGTCGTTACCAGTTGCAGTTTTGATATCATCATTATTTTTATTTTTGATAATGATATCACCAAGTCCCATCCAGGAAGCCATTCGTTTCCATGCAGAAGAGACTGATACAGTGAAGTGGCTAGCAGTTTCATGCATTAACATTCCCACTTGGACTACAATCACAGATATGTATTATTTGTGAAGCACCAAATTTGCAAATGATTTTCGCTCATAAACTCAGGGAAAAGGAGAAACTGATTTAGTTATTTGCAAACTTGCATGAATGATAAACACCAAATATTGCTATTGTTAAACAGTGGAAATTGGTTTTTTTTTTTCCATTTTATTTTTAAACAAATAAATTCAAAATTGAGTTTGAATTAACAGACAAAGTGTGGAATTTAAGGACTTTCATAGGAAGAAACAAATTCAAGCACTTCTCTATGAACACTGTAACTTGTGAAATGAGAACCACAATAAAGTAGTGCTTCATAAGTGTTAGTTTTTGTTTTTTACATACAACATGTCTAAATTATTGATAGTATTTAATACTGAATATATATTATGTACAAGAGTTACTTCTATGTACTACCATGCGAACGAAATGCCACCAATTTTAATGAAAATTTTTGGTCTGGCAAAAGTCTATTGGGTACATCAAAATCTTCATCACTTCCGGTCCGAATGTACGACCCTTCTGAAAAGTTTCAGCATGTCTGAGTAAAGCACACTGAGACACAGTGAAGTGCAGTACATTAGAACCTGACCTTATATTACTTTCTGGAAAATTTTTGGCCATCGATATTTCCTAACAAATAACTTTTGTAAGATATCAGCCTGTCATAAAAAACAAGGCAGCAAAGCTGTCAAATGTACAGACAAAAAGCAGGAAATAACTATGCACAAAATAGGCTACTGTCAATTCTGATGCAAAAGTACATTATGTTAAACTGTAAATTCAACATCAATTTTTAATTATGCTCAACAGGAAATNTGACTGCTTCAAGGTGAATGGATTATAGATTATACATCAGCTTCTATGGGATGTGAAAAATAAGTGGAATGAGAATATTAATTACAGGTTATCAAATGAACGCTTTCTTCTTGCATGTATATTTTCTATTTTCTTGACTAAGTTATTTATTGCACAGTATGAAGTGAAAATGAAAATCGAAATGCTCAAATATATTCAAGGCTGGTATATTTTGGTTCTTTGGTATGCTTTATCTGCTGTGAAGGAGAAATTAATATGATCAACTATACCCTATAAAAAAATTTGCATGTTTCCTTGTGAGAGAAACATTCTGTAAATATTATTTCCCATTTGGTCTCTATAATAACTGTTTGTTTTGTGTTGCAGGTCTCTAATGAAAACAAGCTGTTGGCTCCACTGCTGAGAAAACACCCAGACAGAGATCAGCTGATCATCTGAAGGCTCAGATAGACAGAAATACTGACGGACCTGTTAGGACCACGCTACCTGACAACACTCCTGCCAACAGGGGGGGGGGGGGCGATATCGTTTCATAAACATTATATTTATCTCACGAAAGTAAAACAGAAATAAAATTGAAAGTGAAATGTACCTGCAATTCTGAGGACTGCTCTGTCTGCAGGGTCCAGCTGCAATATACTGAGGGGGAGCTGGAGGTCCCTGAGCTCTGCGTGGAAGCTTCTGTCATCTTCGTATCCGCTCAGGTACCCAGGGTAATATTCCGCCATGGTTAATACGAATTACATCCCGTTAAGAAGAGGGAGAGGCAATCCTCTAACTGAGCTTGCTTGTGTGGTAGAGTAAGGTCAAACGCGGCTTTTAGAGCAGGGTCATCTCATGCTAATATGAACCGGTTTTCACTATTCTCACTGCTTATGTATTTCCGCTGGGTTAATTCCTGGCCAGGGTTTAGGTGCGGGGTAGTGTGATGGTAAGCCAGCAGTCCTCGGTGTTCCTGCCTCACCGGTGTTCACGCTCACGCCGTAGACATAACATTGAACATGGCTGGCTCAGGTGCCTGCTGTTGAATCAAACTCTTTTACTCCCTCCGTTGATTAACAAGCTTTACATGAATTTCCTTGATTATCCTAATTTTCTAACACTGCAATTGATATAAATAGACAGAATTAAGTGTATTTTGATTTTTTTTGATAAATTTATGTGACTCCAGATGAAAATGATTCATATTGATAAAAAAACCAACCGAAATAAATTTAAGATAAGAACAGCATTATTGAATTCGATCACAACATGTAACACTATTAACGATTGGACACGCTGTTCTGCCTTAGGTCATGACCTTTACTAATTCACACATGCTGATGATCTCACTCTAAGGTCAAAGTTTGTATGTATCGTTTATGATACATCATGCAAAAATGAAAAAAAATCAGGTGAGACATTGTACCACTAATTTTTGTTGTCCAAATTTTGTTATTGAAAGGGTTATGGAGAACAGATATAGCACTTTTATACAAATACTTTTATACTTTTTTCAAATATAACGCGATTTGTGAATAACTATTTTTTGGCTTTAATTTTTAAAAAATATGGTTTATGAGCTGTGCTGTAGTATGATGTATCATCTGGGTTTTTACAGATTATTATCTAATTGTCCAACAGGCCAATAAATAAAATGCAGACAGAATAAATATAAGCATCTAAAATAATTCATTAAGACATGTTCATTGTGCTTCAAGAGTAATTATGCATAAAATATGTTCTCACAAGTATTTTTTTGTACAGACACAGATGTGTCTGTACATATAGCAGTCACCTGCGTCTGTCGTCGCCGTCGCCGAGCACCTTTACCGATAACATAATTAGTGGAAAAAAGTTTTTCTTTTGGCTTAAACTTACAGAACTGATGAATATTCATAACATGCAGGTCAATTTCGAAAATCAGCATGATCGGGCCATTCTTATGGAAGTTATACTCTTTTTTCACTTTTTTGATCATATGTGCAACCCTGTTAACATGATAAGTGAAAAACCGCTTTACTTTTTGGCTTGAAACTTACAGACCTGTTAAATATTCATAATATGCAGGCCAAGTTCTAAAATCAGGATGATCGGGCCATTTTTATAAAAGTTATGCTGTTTTTTCTTTTTTTTTCTGTATTTATGCAACACCGATAACAAGATAAGTGGAAAACTGTTTTTCCTTTTGGCTTGAAACTTACAGAACTGATGAATATCCATAATATGCAGGTTAAGTTAGAAAATTGGCATGATCTTGCCATATTTATAAAAGTTTGCTGTGTTTTTCACTTTCACTTTTCACTTCAGCATATATGCAACACCTATAACGCATTTTAAGGAAAAACGATTGGACAATTATCTTGAAATTCACAGGAGTGATCAATGTTACTGAAATACAGATAGTTTTGAAAATAAGGTTGATCAGTTAAGTTTTGGTGAAGTTATATGCCTTTCTTTGTATATAGTTGTTGTTTTCCTCAAATTTTATTCTCAGGCATGTTAACAGTCTCATTTTTGAACTAATTAGATATGCAAAGTTGTTCTTTTGACATTTTCTGCATCTTAACAATATTGTTAGTTGATTATTTAAAAATGATGGTAAACCTGTTATTGTGTATTGTGTAATAAAGTGTCAAAAATGAGATCTTTACAGTTTGTCAGATTCAATCATTCACTATGTTCAGAATCTCAGAATGGAGCAAATTGGACTTTAAAAATTGTTCCATTGATATTTTTCTAATGTCAACAATTTTTTTAGTTGATCATTTAACAAGGCAGCAAAGCTGTCAAATGTACAGACAAAAAGCAGGAAATAACTATGCACAAAATAGGCTACTGTCAATTCTGATGCAAAAGTACATTATGTTAAACTGTAAATTCAACATCAAATTTTAATTATGCTCAACAGGAAATACCAATGAAAGTAAAATGTGTAACAAGCATAAGGCTTCAGGCCCATGAGATTTCAAGTTCACACTTTGAAAATGTATAACTTCCAGAAAAAGAAGCCAATTAGACTGCTTTTCCAACTCAGGCTGCATGCCGATTTTCNCAGCACTTTTCTTTATATCAGTTACAACAGTTTATTACTCCATTAGTGTTGTGTTACACATTTCCAGTGGCCATTCAAGATTACTTGTTCAGGTCTATCTATATATACTTGTAAGCATTCTTTTACTTTGCCCTGTTTTACAGTAAGAAACAAACTTACTCATACGTCCTTCAAGCCATTTAATATATGTCTCTTGTTTGATGGGATGGAAAGTTAATATGTAGTTGACATACTTAGCATCCTAAAATCATACACCAGCCAAGCAGAGCAGAAAAGAACCAGTCTTAACAGAATACTTAGTGCACAGTCATTTAAATTTTTTGACATTGTGACACTTACACCTGGGTGCTAATGTTCTAAAAAGCTGGTGGAAGTTAATTTGAACCAGAGTTTCTAGTGTTATTGCTAAGAAAGTTTACACCAACTTTTTTCTAACTGCAAACTTGATTAGCGTGCTGAGCATGCCTCAAAATCTTGTTGGAATAGGAAGTACAATTTTAATCACAAAATTTACGTGCTTAAATACTGAATTGCGGTGCATACTTCTTAGTTTTAGTTATTGTCATGTTCTCAGTCTCTTTATGGTTGTAACAGGGCTGTGATACAGCTGAACTTTGACTTGGTGATGTAGGTGGGATAAAGACCGATTTCCTTAAGCAGGTACTTTAGGAAGTGTGATAGCCATTTTTTGTCTCATCTTGTCTAAAGAGCAACAAAGATAAACAAGATGTATTTATTAATAGGATATAAACTATGAATTTATAGTATATTGTGGTAACATTACCCAGAGAAATTGTTCTCTTGACATTAATAGCCTAGTTGTTAAAGGGAAAAATGTTATATAACGTGAACAAGTAATGTACACATTTTCCACAAAGCTTTTGTAAGAAATGTAGTTTGTTTCATTAGTTTGGTTACAGCTTGTAAGTGACTTGTTCATTCTTTTAAATATTTATATGTTCAAGTGCCCATTTGTTTAACTTTTCAGTAAGTGTTTAAGTACTTATGGGAAATGCAATATAAACCTTAAAAGGAAACCAGTAATCAATTTGAAAAAAAAAAGGAATTTTAGATGTAGTGTATGCTTATTGAACAATACAATTTGTTGCGGAATACACATTGTAATGTTAATTCATCAGCATTTAACCAGAAATTGGAAAATAAAAAGTTGTGAATAAGTTTCTAACGAAGTTTCATTGTGATAAAAAAGCTTTTTTGTTTAATATCATCATCTTATTTTTGAAAAGATGACAATTGATTGCACAAAATTATTGTATCTCTAAAAAAAATCCTTTTCATATGGTATTTTTTGTTTCGTGTTAGGTAATTTCTTTTAAACTGAATCTTTTGATATATAAAAACTTGGAAAGAAAATTCTCAACAACACTAATGCTGGATCTGTGGTTATCTATTCTTCAATGTAATGGTAAAAATCTAAAGGACCCTATATGTTTTACAAAAAAATTTATTGAGAACAATAAACCAAACATTACAATATGTATAATGTGCAAATCAAAGTTATCTGGAGGAAATCTTTGCATAGAAAAGTATATTTATAATACATTTTGACCTGTAGCCAGCAATTTCACAGGGGAAATTCTTTTCTGAAAAAGTGGACTTTTTACCATGACTCTTCAAGTACCTAGATCAATTTTTACCCAGTGCGGACTTTTTACTCGTGCGATCTATGGGCCTGCATTTTCAAGAGAACTTCGAACAAGTGCCAAAATAAGAACCTAAAAATATGGAAATCATTCGAGGCAGTCAGCGCTGTATGACAACATTGAAAATGGAGGATTTGTGGGGTGATGTTAACTTTGCAGTGATAAATGCGAAATTCTTATGCACCAGGGATGTCATCTTTCAAAAGAATACAAAAATGGCACACAAAATTTGGTAAATTTGTACAACTGTGTAATAAATGCAGACACTAATTTGATAGAACTGAAGAGAAAACAACTTGGTTTCATCAACACTGGATAGCACTATTCTCTGGATAACACTATCCATTAGATCAAATTTTATCCTCTGGGCAATTATCCAGTGGGTAAAGTAATGTTTATTAAAAACTAGATGCTTATTTTTGTCTCTGATATTGCTTTCCAGTGGTTAAAAAGCCTGCTATCCTTAGGATAACTGTCCAAAGGATGACAATTTTATCCAAAGGATAGTGCTATCCATAGGATAGCACTATCCAGTGTTGATGAAAATGGGTCCTAAACTAAGACCCCATTCCCACAAATTTTAGATCAATCTATCCCTGTGGGGAGTCTCACTAGATTACTGTCAGTTTAGCTGGCATAAGTCTCTGTCCTGCCTACTAAAAGCTGTAAGGGGGTAATTAACTACTGTGCGCGCTCGGCTGACATCAATTTAGCGTGAACCCCCAGGGAGTTAGGTCAATCTAGATGGATCGACCTAAATCTATGGGAATACAGTCTCGGGGAGCACAGACATTTGCCAAGACATAATTAACCATTAATTAATCATTAATAAAAATAATTAATGGATAACCACCAAAATCTTACCACTTTTAAGTTAACCCATTTGTGACCTATCCTGAAAATTTCATCAAAATCCATCCATAATTCTTTTTGAGTTGTGTGAGCTAGTGATGAACAAACAAAGAATTGGAGCTGAAAACTTCTTGGAGAAGGAAAAAAACATTCTTTCAACTTACATTTGTTGCTGCACTTGGCCAGTAAGTCATGAGACAGTGGGCTATCTTAAATGATTAAATAAAATATCCCTAGATCTATACAGGAAAATTATTTTAACAATCATACTGAAGTTATTTATGCATTCAAGTGTCATCAAAGAGTAAGGTTGATCCATTCACATAATTGGGATATCTAACCTTTTAAACTGAAAAAGAAAACAAGGCAGCAAAGCTGTCAAATGTACAGACAAAAAGCAGGAAATAACTATGCACAAAATAGGCTACTGTCAATTCTGATGCAAAAGTACATTATGTTAAACTGTAAATTCAACATCAAATTTTAATTATGCTCAACAGGTAATACCAATGAAAGTAAAATGTGTAACAAGCATAAGGCTTCAGGCCCATGAGAGTTCAAGTTCACACTTTGAAAATGTATAACTTCCAGAAAAAGAAGCCAATTAGACTGCTTTTCCAACTCAGGCTGCATGCCGATTTTCAAACTTCACCTCCGTTTTAGTAAGATCGATTACTCCTGAGAGTTTCACGACAACAGGCCTATCGGTTTTCCTTGAAATGTGTTTACAGTGTTGCATATATGTTGAAAACTGAAAGAAAAAAGCATAACTTCTACAATAATGGCCCGATCATCCTGATTTTCGACCTTGACCTACATTTTATGAATATTCATCAGCCCTTTAAATATAAAGCCCAAAAGTAAAACTGCCTTCCACTTATCGTGTTTACAGTGAAAGTGCAAGGTGCCGGCAACGGCGATGACAGCGACGACAGACGCAGGTGATGGCAATATGTACAGACACATCTGTACATATTTACTGTACTGTTTGAGAACAGTAAGTGAAATGGTTTTTCTTAAATGGTCATCATGGGAGCAGTGCCCAAAATAGGTTTTTTTCAAATTTTGATGCAATATTACATAATGTTTAATAGCATAATGACCATCAATTTTTAAGAATAAAATATTAGTATCATGGATATTCAGAAAATGTGACTAGCAAAGGTCTTCAGGCCCATGGAACTTCAAAGCCACAACTTGAAAATGCCAAAATGTAAACAAGACAGCACTGTTCTGAAATGGGTTTATTTCCATTTTTAACAATTTTTAACATAAAACAAAATTAACAGTTTACTNCCTATGAACAGTGTCTTTGATATTAGTCTATCAGCAATCTCCAATCATAAATTGTTAATTTATCAGACACTTGTAACATTTACCACATTTAATTGTTCACCCTGATTGTGAAACAGCTGAAAACATACAAAACTCTTTAAGGCATGCAGCAAAAACGTAGCATTTCAATACCTATTTCAGCTCCAACCTTTACCTTTTTTTTGTACTCTGCAATAGCAGCTAGATTGGGCTTAACTTGCACAATCTTTTCCTCCAGTATGGTCAATTCATAAGCTACGGTTTCTTTGGACATTTTGGCCAGTTCTTCAGCTGGAATCACCTCCAGACTGCCCTCTGTCTCTGTTCCATCATCAAACTTATGCAAGGCCAGCTTAGATTTCTGAAGATAAAATTGATATGGACATTACAGATCACATTTTCTTTTATGAATAAATACACGAGGCCAAGGGAGATGTGGCACTAGATTGGAAAATACAACTGACAAATACAAAAACACCCACAAAACAGTAAAGTATCACTACTAGAGACAGCCTTAAATGGCCAAATATCAATCAATCTCAAAAGCAACAATGATTTTTTTCATGTTTTCAAATGGGAAACAAAGCAGTAAAACTGTACAGACAAAAAGCAGAAAATAATGATGCACAAAATAGGCTACTGTTAATTTTGATGCAACAATACATTATGCTTAACAGCAGTCAACACCAAAATTTAATTATGCATAGCAGGTTATATGGACAGATGAATATGTAAATAGCACAAGGCCTCAGGCCCATAAGAGTTCAAATGGCATAGGCTCAAGAAAAAAGGACAACACAATGAAGCTGGTTTTCCAATTTGAGCTGTATGTCAATCCTAATAATAGATCTTGTAAATTACAAAATAGTTCGAATACAGTTTTCTTTTCATAACATGGCAGTGGCAAGTTCGATGTAATATTACTAATGATTAACAGCATAATTGCCACCAATTATTTACTACACACAACATGGGCATTTAGAAAACTTGATTACCACTTGGCTTCATGCTTGTAGAAGTTCTTAGTCCCACATTGTAAATGCCAATACGTGAAAAATAAAAATTCCATAAGAATTGCATTGCTGCCAGTATAAAAAATGTAATCAGACTGGTTTTTCAACTCTAGCTGCATTTCAGTCCTATGGATCTTTTCAGTAAGTTCAAGAATCATTGGTAACATGGTTTTCCTTTAATTGTCATTAATAATTGGCAACAGTGTCAAAATTAAGGTTTTCCTCACTTTTGATGCAATAGTACATAATGTTTAACAGCATAATGACCATCAATTTTTAATAATGAATTATAAATATCAACAATACTCAGAAAATGTGACTAGCAAAGGTTTTTAAGCCCATGGAAGTTCAAAGTCACACCCTAACAATACCAATATGTGAAAAATTAATCTAGTGGCTGCTTCTCCCTTGAAAATGCACCCAAACTCAAGAAGTTGAAAATGAGCCTGAGTGTAACATCTGCCCATAATATTTTTCAATTCAATTCAATTCAATTTATTTCTGTACTGGTACATAGATTGTCATTATTATTGTATTATTATAGCTCAGGTTTGTGTATTTTCTGAAAATCGTCACAAATAAAAATTCTTTTGAAAAAGATTTCCACTCATAGAAAATTTTGAAATAATGGACAAAGGTCAAATCCTAGGGCATTTTTGAAATCTCCACATGACTTTCGGTCAGCTGTCTGTAGAATTTTTTCCATAATTCCTTTGGTTCAGGAGATATTCAGCATTTTGCAAATTTTGGACAAGGGTGCATTTCAACAAGCGCCACACCTAGATCTGTACACCGACAAAGCCCAAAATTTACATGGAATGACTTGAGATTATATGTGACAAAAATCCAAGAGATAGGTACGCAGTACGGTAATGGTGACATGGCAGTGGAGCTGGCGGATGAGACAGGTCGGGACTACTATGTGTACCTCCAGTGCCTAAGCTGATGGTACAAATATGACATGGTTTTCATGTTATCTTTAAAAGAGTAGACAAAATATGCTGAAAAAAGACTTTTGGAAATATGGTCTGTTCAAAGTGATTTTAGAAATCAATCTGTATTTCAGCATAAATGATCAGTCCTGTGAGTGTCAAAACAATAGGCCCATCAGCTTTCCTTGAAACTTGTCATCAGTATTGCATATATATGCTAAAAAAGGCAGAAAAAAAAAAAAAACAAAAAAAAAACGCATAACTTTTGAAACAAGGCAGCAAAGCTGTCAAATGTACAGACAAAGAACAGAAAATAAAGATGCAAATAAGTGAAAAATTAAATTTTCACAAAAAACTGTTAAATTGCCAGAAAAATTTACCAAACAGACTGCGTTGCCTATTGAAGCTGTATGTTAGACCCATGTTTCTTTCCTGTAAGTTTGAGAACAGTAAGTGACATGATTTCCCTTAAATGGTCATCATAGGAGCAGTGCCCAAAATAGGGGTTTCTTCAAATTTTGATGCAACATTACATAATGTTTAACAGCATAATGACAATCAAATGTTATTAATAAAATATTAGTAACATGGACATTCAGAAAATGTGACAAGCAAAAGTCTTCAAGATCATGGAACTTTAAAGTCACACCTTGAAAATGCCAATATGTGAAAAATTAAATTTTCACAAAAAACTGTTTAA